GTGATTTACAATCTAAATCTTAAATCATGTAAAATTTGGCTACTATTGCAAGTACTTTTATGCTATTTATTTCATTTTTTAATCACTCCCCCTTTTTACTCTTAAATTTTATGGAAAACACCAGTGGAAACCCACTGTATATTTTTGACCAACATCATGATCTAATTTTTACTGTTATCCATTGAATGAGAGTTAAATATATTTGTAAACAAACAAATAAGGAAAAAAAACCCTTCTATGGCAGTAGAATTTGATGTTTTGGTTATATAATTTAATTAAAATATCATGTAAATTGATAATATGTAATAAAAATTGTGAATTTATGTTGAATATTTTAGAAAGCATCAGTAATACAAGGAGTAAATCTTATATTCTGTTTCATGTAACACCTTTTTTTTTAAATACTAGAAAAATCCTAACAATTGAAAAGGATTTAGTATTTTGATTGCTTCTTAAGATATGAAGTGGGGAACTACTTAGGGTGCCTATACTCAAGGACATACTTCTCAAAAGTGCCTGGGATATACTTTTAAAAGTGGAAATGATTGCATATTTAATAGTATTAAATCAAAGCAGGATTTCAAATGTACAAACATGTCATCTCTTGTGAATTTTGCATTTTCTAATTTTTTCTATAATTGATTTTTTCAAGAAATAATAACTGTTTCATGAAACACCAGGGACTGATGAGTCTCAAAATTAACTTGTCTTTCCCCTGAGTCTTAGAATCAGTTTCAGGTGTTAACACAGTAGATTGAGTGGTCACAATCCACTATCTTTGTAAACCTCATGTGCTCAAAACTGAACCTATCAACTTGCACTCAACAGAATGAGACCATCATCTTTTGGGGCACTCAGTCTCTTATCCTGGAACATGGCTTTGACTTTTTCTCCTTTACCTCCAACATATACAAATTCATTGGTAAAAGTTATCTTATCACCTTCGAGATAATTCTTTTTTCCTAAAAGATAGTGTACACACATTTTTTTTTTTACCATGGTCTTGATCTTGTTTATTCCTGTGACTTTTTCCCTCTATAAACACTGCACACAGCATTTGCTGATGTTGCATTTCTAATGAAGTGCTCTCTGCTAAAATCTCAATTCTTTATCTAGCTAAACTGTTTTTGACTTAGGTCAGGTGTCAGCCTTCAATAAACTTTCTTTTCTAGTGAGCTCCATGATATAATTGGCATAAAAGATGTTCAATTTCCATTATTAAATTACCTAAATAATTTGCCCATTTTTTTCTGGTTTCTTACTGTCCTATCACACAATCTTAATTGTGCATTTACCTGAAGTATGGGAATTTCATGAAGACATTATCTGTTGTGTCCATAATTTTATCCACCATGTCAAATGCAACAGTTAGAATTTTGTATTTCCTTAAGTAATGTTTGCTGAATGGATTAGTAAATTGAAATATTTTATATTCCAGTAAATATTTCTGGTACAGGATAGATAACTTTAGGGATAACATTAATTAAAATTCATATTGTCAAATGTTTTAAACCTAAAATGAAAACTCTACTTTTTCCCATTTTTGAACTTTATTTAAAAAATGCATACATACAGACAAATACATCCAAAAGCCTGGCTTTAGATACAAACTCTGAGGTCATGAAATTGACCTTACTGAATCAATAATTTAAAATTTTGCAACAAAAATAAAATATAATCAATAATGTCTCAAACTGAATATTTATATTTGCATTATTCTTTACTTTAGTTAAGGCTGAAACTCCTCAGAATGTATGTCCCTTTTTATTTATTGTCCTGAGTAATTAAAGTCCCATTTTCTTTATTTGATCTCATATTTGAAACAAGCTTCCTTCTGCAGGAACTGTTCCCTTTGCCATCTCCTGGTGAAAGCAGAATGGACGCTCATTCTTTTCTAACTTTAATTGCAACCAACACTTTCTGATAATCACATTTTCACAGTTGCAGAGGGTAAATAGGAAGGGTGGTGGTGATCTTGACTTTGATCAGACTTTATCAGAGGAATTATAGCACTGGTATTTTAAATGCAATTTTGATAATAACATCAGCTGAAAGTTCTGTGTGCCTATCTGTTCGAAATTACCATCCATCCTCCCCCACCACACACAATGACATTTTTTTTTATGTAAAAGTTTTCATCATGGAATGTGACTTTAAAACTGCAAAGAATGAGTAAGCATACTTTAAATTCTTAGGTATTTCATAGAAAATGTAAAAGGAAAATCCTTCTTTCCTATATCTAAACAAAGATAAAGCAGAAATTATAATTTTGCATATAACACTTATTTTTAGCATTTCTAAAAAAACATTTTTAAATATACACAGAAACAACAATCTTCAACGAACTACCATAAAGGTCAATGATCAGATGACCAATACTTTTTTATTTCTTCTGTCTTTTACTGTAACTTATCAGAAACAATATTTAAGTTTTATATAATTGCCAAAATTGAACAGCAGAGGGCAGAAAATAACAAACTGTTTCTTAGAGTACACTATTCTATTCAACTGCTGTAATCTTCAAAATTGATTTTATTATTGATAAATTTAAGACAAAATAATCTAGAAAAAAGAAGTTTCTAAGTGCTAAAAATAGAACTCTGGACATATGAACAATAAATTCCAAAAATTTCTCATTTATTTATAGAAACATTAACTTCAATTGATTTAAATATATTATAATTAAATTGACAGCATTCTGCACTTGAAAACAGATAAATTATTGAATATTATAGTGAATTGGAAAAGTTTCATGAATTATTGATACAATTATGCCCATATTATAGGAAATTTCCCAAATGTGTGAAAGGTGCAAACATAAGCACATTGTGAGTAGATTAATAGAATAGCAGTTTAGTTACTGGTAATACTTGCTGAAATTTTTATTTCTACCTCATATATGAATTATAATCAGTCAGTGGACAGTGTTACTTTCTTAAGCTCCTACATATTTACTAGGAAAAATGTTCTATGATTCAGCAAATTCTTGTTTTTATGGAATGTAATTCAGTCAATTTTGAATTCATGCCTGCTCTTGACTTTGAAATAGGTTAAGATGAAGATAGTTTTTGAAACATTCTTATCTTTAAAAATTCAATTTACATCGACCCACACTTTAAAAATCATCATTTTTCCTGTTTAAGCTACCCTCCCTCTCCAAGCTCACTTGCATTACTTTGTATGAAATTGAGGATTATTTTTGTGAAAAAATTGAAAGAAAGAAAATGACTAAAGAGTCATTTAAATTTTTCTATGTCCCATTATCTATTCTTTTAGATGTTCATTTTTAAATTAGAAAAATACACATTAGTTAAATGTGTATTTTTATTAAATTATTTTTCATGTTGCAATTTTGTGTATGTGTGTGCTGCTATTTTTATCCTTACTGGCTTTTTAAAAAGCTAATTCCTTTTGGTTCAGAAGACTGGTCTTATACATACTGAAGAGATTTTATTAACTGCCTTCAATAAATTCTTAGTGATAAAACTAGAAACTATTTTAACCTGGAGTATACACATTTAGTAATAGATTATAGGTTTTCTCCTTATTGACAATTTAAAAGGAAAGACATGATTTGAAATCATAGGATTTGAAAGTCAGAAAGAACTTTTGCTCATCTTCTCATTTTTTAAATGGAGATATTGAGTCCCAGGGTGATAAAGGGGAGGAAGTATCAGTAAATACATTCAATAAGGATGTTGCAGGAGTGATATTAACATCACAACTGCACAAGAAGGTAAAATAATAGGCTAACCCTTACGGCATTTTGGAAATATTAGTAAATTCCTTTATTAGTGTTGTGGTCCCCAAACTCCTGGCTACTATAAAAAAAAGTTCCTTTTACTTGTTCTTCTCTTTCTTTGTTTGATCACAAAAGTCATAAAATTTGGTGAGGAATTTCTGAGGCAGCAGAGGAAATGGCCAGAGCAGCTTCTCAGGAATGGGTTTGGCAATCAGTGTGCAGACATGAATTCCACAGGCATAATTATAGTCTTCATTCCTCTCCACTGACTTCCTTTCTACAAACTTTGTATCCCTAGTCTACTACGTGCCGAAGTAACTTACTTCCTTTAGGAAAAGATGTTTTGAAACCAAGAGCCAAAATGTGGTGTGGTATCAAGTTTGTAACTAAGTCTCTAAATTAGATTCTGCAGCTCTGTGGCCTTTCTAGATCAGCTGAGCTTCTCCCCCCACCCCCAATTAACCTTTCCTTTGTTTTTAATCCGGTATAAAGAAAGGACATCTAAGGAGCCAAGTCTATCTCTCTATAGCCGAAGAGAGTCTGCAGTGAAGGCAGTGAAAGCCTTCCACGCACGCAGTGTGGCTTGGCAAGTCGGCATCACAGCCCAAAGGAATGTACTCTATAGACGGAGTTTCCATGCAAAGCACTTCACACATTCTCTCTCCTGAATATTCTCCTACTCAACTTTGTCCTTTAAGAATAGAATTCTGGATTTTTCCTAGATCCTGTCTACAGCACATGAAACCAAAGTTCAGTTTTGGAACACTTCTATGAATATTTTATTTGCTTGTTTGCTTTTCAACTAAGTCAAGTGAGGTTCATAGCAGCGTTCCTGTATTGCTAAGTGGGTTTTCACAGGAGATGGAAGATAAAAATAAAAAAAAATTTTTTTAATGTAAACCAATAGGGCCTGGTAAGAGAGCACTCTACCGCCAACAATAATTTGCAATTCCACTTCTCATGCACAGCAGCCGGAAATCATCTTTGCTGCATTTGATCCAGGCTGGAGCATCTCTGAGAGCTGCAGCAGCGGCACAACCTTAGCTCCAGGCTAGAGGAAATCGCTGTCCTCGGTGCTGAAAGGCAGAAGCGCGCGGTGGGCGCGATAGCTCCCGAGAGAAGAGGTCTTTCCAAGGGACAGCGGCTGCCGGGGCTCTGAGCAGCGCTTTCTCAGCACCGCGCACGCGAGGCTGCCAGTGCTGTGCGGGGTGCGGGGCACCGTGCGGGGGAGGGGTGTGCGCGCGAGTCCGCGGCCTGCCGCGAGTCGCGCACGCGCGCCCAGGACTGCCTGCTCCTCTCCGTGACTTGCTTGTGTGTGCGCGTGTGTGTATGTGTGTGTGTGTATGTGTGTGTGTGAGTGCGCGCGCGCGCGCGTGAGAGAGAGGAGAGAGGGAGAAGAGAGCGCGAGAGAGGGTGAGTGTGTGTGAGTGCATGGGAGGGTGCTGAATATTCCGAGACACTGGGACTACAGCGGCAGCTCCGCTGAAAACTGCATTCAGCCAGTCTTCCGGACTCCGGGAGCGGGCACAGGGCGCAGGGCTTCAACAAGCCACCAGCAGGACCTGGGAAATAGGGATTCTTCTGCCTCCACTTCAGGTTTTTAGCAGCGTGGTGCTAAACTGCTGTCTCAAAATGCAAAGGATCTAATTTGCTGAGGAAAACGGCCAAAGAAGGAAGAGGAGGAAAAGGAAAAAAAAAAAAAAAGAGGGGGTATTTTGTGGATGCTCTACTTTTCTTGGAAATGCAAAAGATTATGCATATTTCTGTCCTCCTTTCTCCTGTTTTATGGGGACTGATTTTTGGTGTCTCTTCTAACAGCATACAGATAGGTAGGTACCCTTTGTGCTATGCTTTTGAATTGTGCATAATTTGGTGGTAATCTTTGTTCACAGTGGACAAATTAATTCATGTCATGTAGACTTATGTCATACCTTGACTGCATTCCAGATTTATACTACCTAGAATATACATGATTTTCTTAGGATGAAGCAAAGGGAAACGACTGTGCCTTTGATACAATAGAGGAAAAGGTCTTCTCATTTCTGACCCCCAAATTTTACTAATTCTGCCTTAATGACATCTCCCAGTTTGCTCACATTCTCTAGGGGTCTGAATGCAAAGCTTGTGATGATGAGTAAAAGCGAACGTTTCTGGCCACCTACCTTGCCCTCAAGATTCTCATTAGTGTCTTGACCCTTTGGCTACCTTTTGGACGTTCGACCCGGATTCTGTAGATGTGTTTATTCGGCCTATTAGCGCGAATAAGAGACTCTGGGCTTCTGGGTGCTAGCGGGCTCCCCTCCTCTCCCTCCAGGGCACTGACACGGTTCTCTTGCTTGGTGTTTGTTCTTTGCAGGGGGGCTGTTTCCGAGGGGCGCCGATCAAGAATACAGTGCATTTCGGGTAGGGATGGTTCAGTTTTCCACTTCGGAGTTCAGACTGACACCCCACATCGACAATTTGGAGGTAGCCAACAGTTTCGCAGTCACCAATGCTTGTAAGTAATGAATATTCATGCCTTTCTGGTGCCGCACGCGGAAAGCTAGCAATGAGAGTGTGGGATGGTGTGTGTGTGTGTGTGTGTGTGTGTGTTTCTGTGTGTCAGTGTGTGGGTGTGAGTGACTGCACACGCGCGTGCGTGTGAAGGCATAGAGAGAAGGTGGCTGTAATCTCAGAGACCCCCGCTGGCTGGGGGTATAAACAGGGGGCACGAAAGGCATTGAAGAGTTTGCGCACTAGGGAGTCTGGTGGGGGTTCTAACTGGGGGCATCTTTCTTGGGTTCAGGGGGGTCCTCGCCAGTCTCGAGTGCTAAGAGAAGCTGTCCCCGCCCCCTCCCCCGCGCGCCTATTGGCACCTGGCCAACAGAGAACACGCTGTTCCCCAGGGCGCGCTGTCGGGCTGTTGGACAGATCCCACCAGGGACTGCCAGAGCCCTGATGCCTGCCCGGCAGCTGCAGCGAACGCCTGTGTTTGGGGCTTAGATCCGCAGCCTCAGCTCAGGCTCATCCTGTGGTCCCCGGGAGCCCCAGGCTCTTCTCTTCCTCCCGACAAGTTGTTAGAATGGTTCTGGAGTTGGGCTCCGGGCTGTTACATAACGCCCAATCGAGGGGCGCAGCGCAGCAGGAAGCGAGGCCCACGCAGGCAGGCGCAGCCCAGACCGGGTAGGGAAGTGGGCTGGGGCAGTGGGGAGCACGGTCCCTTTCTCCACCGAGCTCCTGCCAGAGTCGAAGGGGGCGATTCCGCCCCGGGCGCCGAGGTCTGCTCGCCTGCCGGGCGCGCTTTGTTCCCGGGTAGCCGGGCTCCGGCAAAGGCTGTCAGTGGAAAAGGGGTGGACAACAGTTGAATCCAGCCGAGTTTTAAAATCTGAAGAAGTCGCTGATCAGCCATTTTAGTCTTTGCAGTTCTCCATATTAGTCCTTCCACTCTGCTCAGTGCTCGGGGACTCGCGAGGAAGCTCCATCAAGGCTTCAAATAAAGTCATAGAAACCAAGCGATTAGGTATCTGAAAGGTTCAATGGAAAGGCTGGCGGCCCTTTCCCGGGATTCGCGCCCCCGCCGGCGTGGGCAGTGCAGCCGCCGCCACTGTGCCTTCCTGCCGGGTTCCCAGAGCTGCCATCATTTCCTGCCGGCTGGGCTGGGGCGATCCTTTCCTGCCGCGATGTTCGCAGTTCTTATTTCGTAGGTAAAGATTTGGGGGAGATTTGCAGATGCCTTACTTCCCACTTTGGCTACAGTGTAAAGGAGCTAGCGGAAAATTACCACAGGAAAAGCCCCACTGCAGCGATCCCACATTAGACAAACAACTGGTTGTCATTCCACTTCCTCGTATTAAGCTTTAATCATGCATTCGATGGTTTGGCTTGATTATAATATCAGGAACATCATCAACTCATTTTGCGACCGCTGTCACCCGGGTGAATGAAGAACTGAATAATTTCCTTTGAGTGATAGAACAGGGGCATTATTGTGTCATATTAGATGACCAGAATCCAATTGTTCTTGAGGGACCGATTTAAGGTTTCAATGCTGTTTTCTTCAAATGCTGATGTTACAGGAGAACGATCTGTCTCTCTCTCTCTCCCACTCTCTCTCTCTCAGACAAAGTGGATTTG